CAACTGCGCGTTGGTGTAGGTTGGACGGTGTACGTATGTGTGGGGGCAGCATTGGACGGTGTATATGTTGGTGTGGGTTGGTGCGATTTGGGGGCAACGTTGATGTTGGTGGCGTTTGGGAAGGAGGTGGGCTGCTGGTGGAGTTCGGGGCTGCTGGTGAAGTTCGGGGCTGCTGCTTTTATTGTTTTGTTGATGTTGATGCGGGGAAAAGGATGTATGGGGTCGCCGACACCGAAGAATCATTTTTTCCTCGGCATTGGTGGGAAAATGGAGGTTCGATGGTGGCAATGAGGGTGGTTGAAGATGGGGTGGTGGCTGGAAGGTGGTAGTAAGGTGGTTGGACCCACTAACGGAAATAGTAACGACATAAGGTAAAGGGTAGTGATATCTAAAATTTTGGGATTTGGATGGTAGTAAAAAAAAAAATAAAAAATTAAAGCGGTAGTAAATGTGAAGCAAGGTGCTTTCGGTGGTAGCAAATGTCAAAATTTCCTAATTTAGATATTCAACGAATATTCGTTACCTATATGTATGTTCATATATTTAAAGAGTTGTATATTGTTTATTAGTACTAATATATAATCTATAATTATAATTTTTGTTCGTACTTTAAAGATGGAAAAACAAGTAAAATGAGTAGTAATGAAAAAGTAAGACAGACTAATTAAACATGCTTTGTCACTGACCAGAATAATAACCTATATCATTTTGTAAATTTTTTTTGAGTATTTTAACAATTGAAAAAACATACATGAATCCTCTACAAATAATAATTTACCTGTAAAGACCATTATTATAATAATTAGTCCCCGTAACAATAATTACTTGCAAGTTGAGCTAAAAAAAATGACTTAATAAGACCATAATTTGGAACAATTAAGTAATTGATAAATCTTAGTTACATTTAATAGTACTCGATCTAATTGCCAAAGCACAAACATACAACATATTTTTTTTTTTTTTTTGAAGAAAAACATACAACATATTCATTTCATTCTATTCAAAGTCTTAACTGTTGATACACTAAATTAAACAGAGTAAAACAAAAAGAGCTTAATTAATATCATTTTGCAAATAACATCAATAATCTCAAACTATTTTTAGCCAAATTTTCAAAATAAAAACCGAATAAAGCATTAAAAATATTTTTTTTAAAAAAAATAAAACATACCGATCGAAACTCTTGCCGCAACAAATTATAGACCCCAACGCCATACCCCTCTTTGTTCGATTGAGGTTTTCTTCAAATTTGACTTATTTTAGGGGTTTTGTATTTGATATTCTAAAATTATGGCTTTTATCGATACTTTCGTCCTAGGCTTCTATACTGGAAATTTCATCTGGTCTTAGCCACTATTTTTGAAGTTTCTAATGTTGTCTTTACTCATTTGGTTATCGTCCATTGCCCAGGTGTAACTTTGTCCATAAGATTTCACTAAATACCTGCAGATATTGTCTTGTTGTTGATATTAGTTTTATATTTCTTTTGCGACTGCAATACAGGTTATGGCTTAGCAAGGTACGTATCTAGCTAGCTATTTTAATCTTATGGAAGAGAGTGAAACACAGGTTGTTTTGCGACTTCAACACACAGGTTGTTACTTCAACACACAGGTTGTTGCTCAGCAAGGCCCTATTAAAATCAGATGAGAAGGTCAACATTGGTTCAAATATTTCAGTTATGAAATTCCGCACATCTTCTGAGTTTTATTATTTAGTTTTGTGAAATTCATAGAGGAATTTTATTATTTAGTTTTATTTACTTTTGAGTTAGTCTTATTTACTTTTGAGTTAATGGTGATTACTTTTGAGTTAATGGTAGTTACTTTTGAGTTGATGTTATAATAGGAACTAGGAACTCATCGTGATCGTTGATTGCTCTCAATCCGACGGATTTCAATTTCATTAAGGGCATTTTGGTAATTTTGCCAGTTGAATGACCTTTCTCATGTTCTTTTCACAGTTCTTTTGTTTCTCTCTCCTCTCTTGATCTTTCTCTCTCTACTCTCAAATCTCAGTGTATTTTCGTTTATCTTGTATAGAAATCGGGATTTTGTTCTTCGCTGATCAATTTTTTTGTTGTGGTTCTTTGATTTTCGTCATTGTTTGAGGTAATTCTTTTTTATTTATTATACATTTTGTGATTTTTGTGAAATTTTTTTATCAATTTGCGTTTGTTTGATTTGAATGTGAAGTTAGGTTTTCGCCATTTTTATTCGATTAATTTTTGTCTGCGTTTTTTATAATCATATATTTGATTTGTTATTGTTATAATTTCACATTATGTCTATTGGAAATAATAATTAGTTTGAATTTGTATAATTTGATTTATTTTTCTTATTTGTTCGATTGAGGTTTTCTTCAAATTTGACTTATTTTAGGGGTTTTGTATTTGATATTCTAAAATTATGGCTTTTATCGATACTTTCGTCCTAGGCTTCTATACTGGAAATTTCATCTGGTCTTAGCCACTATTTTTGAAGTTTCTAATGTTGTCTTTACTCATTTGGTTATCGTCCATTGCCCAGGTGTAACTTTGTCCATAAGATTTCACTAAATACCTGCAGATATTGTCTTGTTGCTGATATTAGTTTTATATTTCTTTTGCGACTGCAATACAGGTTATGGCTTAGCAAGGTACGTATCTAGCTAGCTATTTTAATCTTATGGAAGAGAGTGAAACACAGGTTGTTTTGCGACTTCAACACACAGGTTGTTACTTCAACACACAGGTTGTTGCTCAGCAAGGCCCTATTAAAATCAGATGAGAAGGTCAACATTGGTACAAATATTTCAGTTATGAAATTCCGCACATCTTCTGAGTTTTATTATTTAGTTTTGTGAAATTCATAGAGGAATTTTATTATTTAGTTTTATTTACTTTTGAGTTAGTCTTATTTACTTTTGAGTTAATGGTGATTACTTTTGAGTTAATGGTAGTTACTTTTGAGTTGATGTTAGTGACTGAGTTTGGTATATAATTGTGTGCATGGTTTATTTAGTAGCAAACTACACTTTTCAATATGAAGCGGGTGAATTCCAACCTACAAAGGCAACAAATTTTTGCCTACTATATGTTGTCTCTTACACTAATAGCGACACATATACACACACACACACACAATCCAAAATTCAATGTGTTGCTTGCATTGCTATTTTTTTTTATCATGAAACAGATGTGAGTAGATAAACTTGATCTTTTTGGCTAACACCATCTATATGCAGACCCAGAGCTTACACTATTGTCATGTCACAACAGATTGCACTTGTTAGATATGTGGGGCTTCAAGTGAATCTTTCATTCATGCCTTGTTCCAATATCGGGATGCAAAATTGATTTGGGACATGGGAGCATAGTAATTATGTGGAGCCGTTGAATGATGCGCCTACAAGCTCCTTTGCTGAGCATCTATAGTGGCTTGCACATAAGGTGGAGAAAAAAGAACTAAGTTTGATATGTGTTCTGACTTGGGTTGCTTGGTTTTGCAGGGATGAGAGTATTTACCAGGACCTTGTGACTAGTCATGTAAGTCTAGCATTTAATTATACCAAGCTACTGCATGATTATAGAGAGTACTTGACAAATTAGAATCGAAACAATTCTCTGTATCAATGTATATCATATGAGAAGCCATGTACAAGCATATATAGAAACGGGAACTTGGAGGGCAAGCCAAATATTCCCAAGATAAACACAAAATATCCTAAGATATCTATTCACAATATTTCACAATATTTCCTAAATATTATCTTTCCTAATACCCCCCCTCAAGTTGGAGCATACGGGTCACAAATGCCCAACTTGTGAAGAAGGAACTCGAACTTAGCCTTTCCCAAAGCTTTTGTAAAAATGTCGGCCAACTGAACCGTCGTAGGAACATACGAAGGTATAATCGTCCCATCCGTAATTGCATCCCGAACAAAATGACAATCTGATTCAATATGTTTTGTTCGTTCATGAAATACTGGATTCTGTGCAATATATAACGCTGACTGACTGTCACAATAAAGATGCATCCCATTCTCATGTCTAACACCTAAGTCACCAAGAAGTCGTTTCAACCACTTTAATTCACAAGTCGTTGCATTCATACAACGATATTCTTCTTCCGAAGAAGAGAGAGCAACAGTAGGTTGCTTCTTGGTTTTCCATGACACAGGGGATAAACCAAGAAGCACAAACCAACCACTCAAGGATCGTTTGGAAAGAGGACAACCTGCCCAATCTGAATCACACCAACCTTCCAACTGTAAAGCACTGTCGGACCTCAATAAAATACCCTGTCCTGGAATCTTCTTTAAATATCTAACTACTCGCAGAGCTGCTTCCCAATGATCAATCCTGGGATTTTGCATAAACTGTGATAAAATATGAACAGAATATGCCAAATCTGGTCATGTGACAGACAAATAAATCAGTCGACCTATGAGACGACGATATTTCTCTATATCATGAAAATAATCTCCCTGAGCCAAGGCTAACCTGTGATTTTGTTCCATAGGGAACTCTGTAGGTTTAGCATCAAGTAAACCGGTCTCTGTAATGATATCCAACGCGTATTTCCTCTGGCAAATATATATTCCCTGTTTATTTTGGGCTACCTCTAGCCCTAAAAAATATTTTAGCACTCCAAGATCTTTCATCTTGAAACAATTTCCCAGATATGATTTAAAATTGAGCATAGCATTTTTATCATTGCCTGCAACAATCAAATCATCGACATATACTAAAACATTGAGCTGCATTTTACCCTTTGTCAGAGTAAATAGGGAATAATCATAATATGACTGTTTAAAGCCATAATTTTTCAAAGCTGTAGCTAGCTTTGCAAACCAGCATCTTGGAGCTTGTTTAATACCGTGTAATGATTTCTTCATCTTGCAAACTTTGTCAAAGTTATTTTTCTCAAAACCAGGGGGTATTTTCATATATACCTCTTCTTCTAAATCTCCATGGAGGAATGCATTATGGACGTCCATTTGATGAACATCCCAATTTTTCACTGCCACAACTTTATAGAACGATCTCCATCTATCTTCAAAGTCTTCACTGTCGGAACACCGCGGAAATAATAAAGTCCATCTACTTGTTCACCCGCTCCAATCACCTTCCTCGTCATTAGGTCCTTAATAACACAAAATTTGTTAGTAAATTGCATTACACAATTTGATTCATCAATCAATTGAGATGCCGAAATTAAATTGCAATTTAATTGAGGCACATAAAGAACATTTTTAATCATCAAGCCTCCATCCAAAATCACCGATCCGATTTTAGAGGCATTAGCATATTTTCCATCCGGCAATCCCACCGGACAATGATCAACATGTGTCACATTTGTCAAGGAAGAAAGGTCACAAGTCACATGATTCGAGGCTCCAGTATCAATAATCCATCCCAAGTCTTGCTTACCATGAAGTTTGGGTTTAAGGGAGCTCAAATGATCAAGGAGCTGTTGGATTTGGGCCGAAGAGATCCCTGCAAGGGCTGCCCCATCAGTGGAATTTGATGCCGAGTTATTGCTAGAATGTGTAGGTGCTTGACCATTAGTCTTGTTTGCACGCACAGGAGCAGAATTCGAGCCCCTGCCACGACCCCCTGCACGACCTCCACCTCGGCTAGCTGTTGTACTACCACGACCTCCTCGAGGCCTGTCGCCCCACCACTCCAGATATCCGTGGAGTTGAAAGCAATCGGATTCATCATGGCCTTCACGATTGCAGTGAGTGCAAAGTTTGGTCACATTGTCGTTCGATTTTGGCTTCCTGCCATCATATTGCAATTTAAACGCCACAGCATTATCACGTGGAGGAGTTGGATCCGACCCACGCAATCTCTCAGCCTGAACCACCTGTTGGTATGCACGATCAACATTCGGTAAAGGCTCTTGTGCTAGTAGCTGACCCCGAATTGGACCGTAAGCATCATCCAGTCCAATTAGAAAGTGATGAACATAATCATCGTCCCGTATCTTCTCTACTTGAGAGACGATATTGCAATTGCAATTGCCACAAGAGCATTTGGGAACCGTCACAAAAGCATTTAATTCATCCCATATTTTGGCCAAGCGACCAAAATAAGCAGCAAATTCTCATTCGTTCCCTGCTTGCAATCACCAAGGGATTTTTTTAATTGACACACACGAGTGCCACTCACTACACAGTATCGATTTCTAAGGTTGGTCTGTAAAAGCGACGCATCATCATAGTCGCCAATAGTGAATCGCACCACAGGGTCTAAAGTATTCGATAGCCATGAGACTAGCATCAAATGTACAGCCACCCAATCATCAAGCTTCTCTGAGTCTTGTGGTTTGGCTATAGTACCATCAACAAAGCCAAATTTGCGTTTCGCCTTCAAAGCAGTCCTCACTGCCCTTGCCCACTCGTCATAGTTATCACCTTTGAGTTGAATCGGTGTTATGAGATTGCCTGGACCATCACTCGAACCCAAGTGATACACGAAATCAACCTTCTGCTTCCCTGAATTGTTATTATTTCCACCATCATATCCGCCAGCCATGACTCACAAAATTGAGGTTTAAGGAAAAGGAAAAAAATAAAAAAAATTCAATCAATAGATTGTGAACTCTCACAACCTTACAATGTGATACGCAAAGAATGAATCTCACGCACACTTGAATCAATCAATCAATTATGGATCGTAATGAAAGCTCTGATACCATGACAAATTAGAATCGAAACAATTCTCTGTATCAATGTATATCATATGAGAAGCCATGTACAAGCATATATAGAAACGGGAACTTGGAGGGCAAGCCAAATATTCCCAAGATAAACACAAAATATCCTAAGATATCTATTCACAATATTTCACAATATTTCCTAAATATTATCTTTCCTAATAGTACTCTATGCAAGTATTCAAGCCTGCTGTGACAAATAAGGCTGCCCTGAATGCAAGTTGGTGTGCACCAGCAGCCGGGGGTTGTGAAAGTTAACACTGATGCGCATCTCTCTGCTTCTAATCATGTTGGAATTGGTGTGCACCATCAAGGCTTGGCATCATGTACTGTATAAATTTTTAAATTTACTTTTAAAAGATTTTTATTTACTTTTGAATTATTATTTATTTACTTTGAATGTTTAATGTATATACTAGCCTACAAGCTCAATAGGTAGAGCATTGTGCACATGAAGATGTGGGTTCGAATCCCACGTAGGTTTATTTATTGATAACCTGGAATATTTGGAATGGTAGTTGCTCACTTTGACTGAAATTTGAGCATATACTCTATATATTTTTGTTGTTTATTACTTTTGATGTACTTCGGTTTACTTTTGAATAATATTTACTTACTTTTAATTAATTTTTCCTTATATCGAATGCTTTAATGTACACCAGCCAGCTCAATAGGTAGAGCATTGTACAAGTGCACAAAAGATGTGGGGTCGAACCCCACGTAGGTTCTACTTGCACTTCAAACAATTAGATTATATATATTATTTTTAATATTTAATTTTGAGTTTTTCTATTTTACTTTTGAGTAAATATTATTTACTTTAATGTTGAAATTATTCACTTGTATTTACTTTTTTGATATTTTGATTTACTTTTTAGCATTTTGTATTTACTTTTAATTAATTATGATTTACTTTTTACATATGTTGCTCTACTTTTGATTTCTTTTCATAGTTACTTTGATTTAGTTTAGAGATATATTAATGTACTTTTTCAGATTTTCTATTTACTTTTGAGATTTTTTTATTTTTTTATTTTTTTTAACTTTATCATATTGATCTATCAAAATAAGTGTTTGGAATGAGAGCAGGTGTGTCCAATGTAGGATCGAGTTAACCTCAAGTTACAAAGATAATAAAAAAAAACCTCTTTTGTTTGTATACATTAGAGCTAATTTGATTTACTTTTGAGATGTTTTGAATTACTTTAGAGTGTCTAATATTTACTTTTAGAGACAACCTATGTAGGAATCGAACCTACACCTCTATGCATCCGCATAGCGCTCTACCACTTGAGCTAATAGGTTTTAGGGCAAAAGATCCATATCTTTTTAGAAAAGCCTCCACATTTTTGCAGTTCCTTTAGTCCACAGAGTGGTAAATATTTTTATTTGCTGCCTTGTTTTTGTATAAATGACAATAATAGCGATCAAAACCACAACCCCTAATGATGAACCAAACACAACTGTAGAAAAACTACAAGTTATATTTCTAGCAAACAATAATATAAAACCTAAAAACCACAATAAGAAAAAGATCATTTTCTTTCAACTCAACATATAACATTTACATCAGAGCACACTAAACAAATAATGATATCTTTTACTCTTAAGGAAAATGGAAATCATGATAAGTATTACATTGTATAAGCTTCTGTATCAACTATAAAGTAATTTGAAGAATATAGAAGCAACCTTAGTAAAGCTATTTTATTGTAAACGCAATCGGAAGAAAATAAATAACCTATGAGCTGAAGCCTCTTTTCTGCAAGAAAAATAACATATCATCAGTGATTCAGTGTTTGCAAGAAAAGAACAAAAAAAAGTTTGTGAGTGCAACAAAGGAGTTTTTTTTTACAAAGGTACTTCATGGCCACATTATTAACAGGTTACTACACATAGATTGAAGTATTTACTATGAACAAGCAGAGCACTTTGGGAAGATTTTATAGGCTGAACACATTGAAAAGGTTTGGTTTTATCAGGACATATATAGTTGAACTGATAATTAGGCTCATCATACCCTCACTTCCCACCAGATTCTAAGCAGGCAGTACAAGTATAAGCTTTCCAGTGCAACAAAACTCCCCTTTGAAGCATATCCAAAACTTTGGCTTTAGTCAGACCCTCATCAATATAAGGCACTTCAATAACTCCTCCATTACACTTTTCCTCCAAATCCTGCTATTTAAAGTCATTCTTATACACTGCCAAACTCCCATATTTCACTCTTTTATCTACGTATTCTTTCAAAACCTTCTTAGGACAATTAGGAAACACATATCCATAACCATGATTCATCGAGAACTTCAACAGATCGCTCTGTATCGACATATTATGATGCGAATGGAAACAACCTCGGCTACTCGAAGCATCTTCAACAAGAGCTGAGTTTTTGACTTGAACCTTTTGATTGCTCATATGTATAGATAGTTTTACATTTTTAATTTACTTTAAAAAAGAATTAGTTTACTTCTATTTGGATTTTATCTACAATTGATATAAATAGTAGGAAACATTAATCGTTTAATTTAAAATTTAAGCACAATATGTAAGCAAGAAACACTAGCTTAGGTTCAACTTCAATTCTAATAACTAAATTATACAGAGCAATTATGGCTAACAAGCAGCTAACTATTTAAAATAATCGCAATTTTTTCTGTAAATAATTAAACAACACATAATTCACAATCATATATCGCAATTATACCTATTTTGAACTCAATTTGCATCTCGAGCGAATAATTGTGGGTCATTGCAGAAGTTATACGAACAAAATTCATCACATTCAACGAGCATACTTCAAATTTTAGCAAGATCTTGATGAATTTACAACAAATTTTTCTAATTATGCTATATAATTTTCAGAATTTGAAGAACCCTAAATCGACTATACTGGATGTAAAAGTAATGAAATTGAAATCGGTGTTCTACAAAATAAATATCTTACCTTAGAGAGAAACTACTTCAATTGAATATAGAAAGCTAAGAAGCGCTTCAATGGAGTAGTGAAAGCACGAAACTCCCTTCAATGGAGTAGAGAAAGCTCGAAGGCCGTTGTAATGGAGGAGAGAGAAAATGCCAGAGGAGAAAGAAAGGATAGAAAGTGCACTTATTTTGGGGAATTTAATTAAATGAGTTTGAACATTTCTGGGTCGTTAGATCACGCGCCTTTGGTGTTAGATCTGACGATCCAGATTAGTTCCTAGTTTCTATTATAGGATTAGTTCTCATTATAACCTGGTCCTATATATATATATAAGAGAACGATTTTCCTAGAAATTGTTTAAATTAAAATTAATTCCCACTTCACATTGTTTTAAAAACTTATTCCCTAAACAGTGTCCACTTAGAATCAGGTATTAGCTTTTTTTTTTTTTTTTTTTTTTTTTGGGTTCTAGGTTCTATATAGAACTGCATTTGGTGATAGCGGTTTTACAATTACAACCGCAATGTATTTGATGAACCAATGTTGCTATTAAATATTGCTATTATTGAAGGTTCTTCCTGCAAGTTTATTTAACCATCCCATTAAATATCATCTCATCAATTTACATGTAATCATCTACAAGTTTTTTTTTTTTTGAAACCATCTACAAGTTTTTTTTAACAGCCCTATCACCTGTAAAAAAAATTGCAAAGAAATTAAAATAGGAAGTAAAAAAAAATACATGGGAATTGAAGTTCTTGAGGTTGAATGCTGAGATATATATGTTTGAGATATTCTCTTAAATTCATACTTTTATGAAATTACCCAGAACAAAATTACAATTAAACATTGGTTTTAGAGAGAGGAAGAATATAGAAGATCTAAGAAGAAATAAGAGGTTTATAAAACCTGAAATTCTTTCTTCTACTATTTTCTCCTTTTCTTCTTCTTCTTCCTATTTCTTCCGTACAATCCCTGAATTTTCTACTACTCTCATTCTCTCTCCTCCAAAAACTTTGTGATTTTCCCTCACTTTTTCAACCCCTTTTCAATTTTCTCCCAAATTCATCGATTTTTCATGCAAAATTGCAAAATCCCATTCGAAGAAATCGAGAAATAAGAGGTTGTAAAAGAAAAAAACAAGAGTAAAAGTTGAGGAGAGTGAAAATGGGAAGACAGGGGAGACGTGGAACAGAGAAATAGTGTTTTCTCCTTTATTTTTGGAGGGCCTAATTTCATCATTGTAATTTATCATGTAAATGTAAAACCGCTATTACTAGTTGTGGTTCTATACCGAACCAAAAAAAATAAAGCCTAAGCTAACACCCAATCCTACGTGGACACTATTAAGGGAATAAGTTTTTTAAACAACACAAAGTGTGAATTAATTTTGATTTAAACAATTTCTTGGGAAATCGTTCAATATAAGAGGAGAGAGAAAGAAGAAAGGGAAAGGGCTGATTTTTGTAAGCTTTTATATGGGGTAAACCCTTTAATCTTGGCCGTACATTTTAATCTAATGGATAGTATTAAAAGTTCCTACTTTAAATTAAGTTCTTATTTTAAGAGAGGTTCTCACTTGAACCTTCCCCTATATATATATATATATATATATATATATATATATATATATATATATATATATATATATATATATATATATATATATATATATATATATATATATATATGTATGTATGTATGTATGTATGTATGTATGTATGTATGTATGTATGTATGTATGTATGTATGTATGTATGTATGTATGTATGTATGTATGTATGTATGTATATCTTTTTTTTCTTGGTAATATGTTATATATGTAATTACCAACTAACTTACAAACAAATAAGAAATGAGGACAGGAGAGAAGAGGAGAGGAAGGTTACAATT